GTGCTCCCGATAGAGCTGTGCTGCCCTGATTTCTTCAACAGAGTGACCCAGCACCCCATCACCATTACTGACACTGCTCCACTTTCCTCTTCCTGTGCAACACGGATCAAACTTCTGTTCACAGACGTACTCTGAGCGCCTGGAAAGGCACCTAGCACTGAGAGCCTCGTAGGTGCTAAGTATGTTTGTTGAGGTGGACAGCATCATCTCTGTTTTTTGGATGAGGAAGCTAAAGCACAGAAAGGCTAAATTGGCCTGTGATCATCCAGTGAGGAGTCGGGAAGGCAAGATTGAACTCTGGTGCTCTGACTCTTAAACTCCGTGCTTAGCAAAACACAAGAGAAATGCAAGTTCTGAGCTGAGATGGGTCAACAATTTGCAGGGCGGTATCTGTTCAGGGTAAGGAGCCGGGCTGGGCAATGGGGATGGACCTGCCGCTGTGTGCTAGCCATCTTTGGGTTCTGCATTTTATGTGCTTTAGGGCTGCACTAGGCAGAAAGAGGAGCACAAATTCCCAACACTCAACAGCTGGTTCCTCAGCCAGTCACAAAACTGGGAGCTCCAGCAGAGGGTCCTGACCTCCAGAGCAGCGCCACAGGCTGGGCTGTTTGCTACAGCACCTACATCCAGCCTTCCTCCCTGGTCCCTGGTCCCTCCCAAGGGGAACCTCTCCTCCAGGCCATGGCCGCAGTGCTGCTGCTGCTGCTCCTGAGGGGTCTTCCCACTGAGTTCGGGGAGGCTAAACTGGGGTGGCTCCCATTGGTATCTGTAGGCTCCAGGTGACATCTCTGGGTGACCCTACCAGTATCTGGCATTTGAGGAATACAATCACTGTTCACCAAAAAGAGCTTCAATCCTTTGCTTTGTTCATTTCCTGCTGATGTCAGAGGCCAGGCATTTGACAAATGTGGCTACCAGTAACTTCCACCAGCCAGGGCGGTAACTTGTAATTTAAAGGAGAAAACAGGAGGCTCCAGGCCATGGAATGATGACATGCTGGGCAAAGGTCTGGTGTCCTGGCCCACTCATCCCCTTCCGCCCATTAGCCGGCCATTTTCTCTGAGGGAACTGGTTTGTTCTGCTTGCCCTTGAAACGGGGTTTGACAGATGCCCTAGCCCCGTGATCCGCAAACTGCGGCTCTCGAACCACATGTGGCTCTTTGGCCCCTGGAGTGTGGCTCTTCCACAAAATACCACAGCCTGGGCAAGTCAATATTTTGAAAAAGTGGCATTAGGAGAAGTTTAAGTTTAAACAATTTGGTTCTCAAAAGAAATTTCAATCATTGTACTGTTGATTTTTGGCTCTGTTGACTAATGAGTTTGCCGACCACTGCTCTAGCCAGTTTGCTCAGTGTATAGAGTATGGGCCTGCTGATTTAAGGGTCCTGGGTTCCATTCCAGGTCAAGGGTACATGCCCAGGTTGCTGGCTCCATACTCAGTGAGAGCGTGCAGGAGGCAGCGGATCACTGATTCTTTCTCATCATTGATGTTTCTATCTCTCTCTCCCTTCCTCTCTGAAATTAACAAAAATATAGGAAAGAAAAAGGAAGGAAGGAAGGAAGGAAGGAAGGAAGGAAGGAAGGAAGGAAGGAAGGAAGGAAGGAAGGAAGGAAGGAAGGAAGGAAGGAAGTTAAGAGTGTCTGACAGAAAGCAGAGGTGTCTGCAGTTGGGTGACTCTGGTACATGGAGACATTTCTCTGCCTTATGTTCGTGGGAGAGTTTAACTTTGGTGCAAGGTTCATGGGGGAGAGGTTTGAGACCCGAGGAGCTCTTTCTCTCAAACACGGGAATCTGAAGCTTAAGGATGACCCAGGAAGGCCCCTCTTGACCCTTGCTAAGCTCAGCACAGGATAGTGTTTGGGGGATCCGAAGGCCCTGATTCCTGCTTGCCCTTCACTGCCACTTCCAAAACCTTCTAACCTCTCCACGCGCCTCTGGCTCCGTGTGAACCAAGAGCCCCACGCTTCCCCACCCGCTGTGGGTGGGAGTTTCCCGGGGCCTCCGCGCATCCCCAGCCCTGTCCTCCAGCGGGCAGCCTTCCTTACACTGAAACTCCGCAAATCTGTTTCACCCCCAGAAAGCGCAAACTGACGCCTGGACCTCCCAAGGCGGAGGCGGCCAAGGGGGTGGGGGAGGGGCCCGCGTCTCCCTCGACCTTCTGGCCTCGGCAGCGGCTGGCTGCAGCTGGCTGGGAACGGGCTCTGGACATCCGGGGGCGGTCACGAGGGATTCGTAAATGGAGCGGCTTCCTCTCCCCATTCCAGCCGGCAGCTTGGCCCCCATCTGCCCTTCCGGGCATCCTCTGGTCCGGGGCCCGGGAGTGGGGAGAGCAGAGAGGACAGCCCAGGAGCCTTCCCGCCCTGCGCGCCCTCGTGCCGGCCGTGTCCTGGGCCCCCGCGTGCGGCGCCGGGGCCGCGGGGAGGCCGGCCGGGCGGCGGGGCCCACGAGGCCCGGACGCGCGCGGAGAGGGGCGGGGCGGCGCGCGGGCCGGGCTGGGGGTGTCGGGTGTCACCCCTGCGCACACCTCGGCCTGGGGGGGAGAGGGGGGGCGGGGAGCGAACCACTGAGACGCCGAGACCTCCGCGGTCCTAGAGTGGAGCAGGAAGTGTCCCAGGGGAGGGAGCCGGAGGGTCCGGCCTTTCCTCTCCTCCGCGTCCGGCGGCTCCAGCGGCGGCCCAGCCTGCGCGGCCGGCTGGCGGGGACGCGGCGCGGCGGTGAGTGCGGCCGGGCCCCTCCGGCCCGCGCGGCGCCCTCCCGCCGCCTCTCCGGCCCCGGGCTCCTCGGACTCGCGGCCCCGGACCATCCCCGCGCCCCATCCCGGCCCCGCGCCCCCGTCCCGGAGCCATCGCTGGGGCTCCGCGGGCGGGGAGACGGGGCGGTATCGCTTTTCAGGCGGCTGCATGCCTCTCTCCCGCTTCCCTCCCAGGTGGGGCCGTGCGTTCCTGGATGAGCGGGAGCCGGGCCCAGCGGAGAGCCCGCCGCGGGGAGGACGCCGGGAGGCGGCGGCCGGGGAGGATGAGCAGCGGCTGTGGAGCCGGGCGCCGCGGCCGGAGCGATCGGAGTTAGAGCCGGGGAGGAGGTGCGGACCCAGTGAGCGAGCGAGCGAGTGAGTGAGGAGCCGGGCTCTGCCCTGGAGACGCGCGGGGTGCGTGCGCGCCGGGAGGGGAGCGGGAGCGGGAGGGAGAAGGAGCGGGAGCGGGGAAAAGCGCTTCCCCGGCCTAGAACGCCCTCCCTCCCCTCGCCGCCGGCCCGCGCGGTCCCGCCTCCATCAGCTGCTGGAAGCCCCGCCCCGCCCGCTGCCCGGGAATCCCAGGTCGGTTCATTCATCAGGCGGCACTCCCGAGCCTCCTGCCCCAGGTGCCGGCCTGGGTGACAAAGAGGACCGCCCCGGCCTGGTTAGGGCCGGTCCCAGCGCACGCTGAGGGCTGAGGGCAAGGGAGTGGGGAGGGCCTGGGTACCCCAGGTTGGGGCCGACCTGGGAAGCCAGAGGCCCTGTCGTGGCTGAGCACAGGGACTTCGGCGTGGTGGGGCTGGTTCCAGATGCAGGAAGGGCACTGCAGGAAGGGGGCCATGGGGCAGGCTCTAAGGTGCCCAGCCGGACTTCTTGAGTCCTTTTCTGCCAGCCTGTTTTCCATTGGTTTTTCTGACTGCCAGGAACCGTGGCTTTGCGGTTCCTCTGGTCTTCCCGTGAAATTGGAGCGGGGCCTGCGTGCCACATGGGGCCCGTAGGACCCTCAGCTGTTGAGGGTTAAGGTTGAGCTGGGGCGCTTCATACAATCTGGGTATGGAAGTCCCCTGGCTAACCAGTGGTCTCACGGCCTGAGAGAGGCGGAGGGACTTTCTCTGGGTCCCATAGTATCAGAGTAGTGGAGTTTACTCTTTTTTTTTAATTTGAGAGAGGAAGGGAGAGCTTGAGAGAAATATTGATGAGAGAGAAACATCTATCTGATGCCTCCAGCACGCCCCCTGCTGGGGATCCAGCCTGAAACCAGGCTTGTTCCCTGACCTGGGAATGAGCCTCCTGGTTCATTGGTCGATGCTCAACCATTGAGCCACACCTGCCAGGCGGTACTGGTATTTATAAACACACAGCATTACTTTTCTCCTGGAATCTGGGGTGTGATTATCACTTTTGTCCCATTTTTTTGTTGCTTTTTAAATGCTCATCTGAGGATATGTTCTTATTGATGGATTTGAGAAAGAGAGGAAAAAAGATTGATGTGAGAGAGAAACATGGATCAGTTGCCTCACCTACACACTCATCTGGGGATTGAACCTGCCACCCTTTGGTGTATGGGACTATGCTCCAACCTACTGAGCTGCACTGGCCAGAGCTTGTCTGGGTATCTTCTCGGCCATGTGCTTTACCCTTGTCCCCAGTGCAGACTGTGGGTCAGGGCTGGACTGGCTGTGTGGACCCAGCAGGCCACCAGCAGGGTGGGCTTCCCCTCCTCAACATGCCTTCACGGTTCTTAACTGGAACATCTGTCTTTGTCTTTCCAACTCGTGTTGTAAAGGTCTCAAGGCAGGAACAGTGACTTTGGCTCAGAATCCCCAGGACAGCAGCCTGCCTGGCTTGGCCCTCTTGGGTTCTCTCCGGGAGGATCTGGCCACCGAAGGTACCACGGGGTCTTACTTCCTTCTCTCTCCTGAGCGTAGCCCTGCCATTGCCCTGGGATGCTCGGAATGTCTTTGTCACAGTGAAAGCCACCGCTTTTCTCCCGGACTCCCTGCCTTGTCTGTCAAGGGACCCTGCCATGATGCTGTGTGTGGGGGGGTGGGGGGGTGGCAGTGCCCTCTCTCCATTTGTATAAGGATCAGTCACACTGACCCTCCTCACATGTCCTGGGGCTCCTTCCAAGGGCTGGTCTCCGGGCCTTGTCCCTTTCCCCATCACCACCCTCCACACCTACTTACAAGAGACCAGAGGTATTGAATCCAGTGATTTCTGTTTGGAAATAGGGTCGTCTTCTGCTGCTGACCCCCATCAAATCCCATCATGCCCACAGCCCTGTGTCCCCGAGTCTTGGCTCCGAAGGAAAGTGAGGAGCCCAGGAAAATGAGGAGCCCACCGGGGGAGAGCCCTGGGCCCCAGGGCGAGCCTCCCAGCCCCGAGTCCTCCCGACGCCTCTTCCGCCGGTTCCGCTACCAGGAGGCGGCCGGCCCCCGGGAGGCCCTCCAGCGCCTCTGGGACCTGTGCCGGGGCTGGCTGTGCCCCGAGCGGCACAGCAAGGAGCAGATCCTGGAGTTGCTGGTGCTGGAGCAGTTCCTGGCCATTCTGCCTCGCGAGATCCAGGGCTGGGTGCGCGCCCAGGAGCCGGAGAGCGGGGAGCAGGCTGTGGCCGCTGTGGAGGCGCTGGAGAGGGAGCCAGGGAGACCCTGGCAGTGGGTGAGTCGAGCGGCTGCTCTGGGCTGGCGGGAGGCTGCGGGGAGGAGAGGGTAAGAGCCAGCAGGGTAGAGAGGGGCCACATCCCCTAGCAGGGATGAGGAATTCTTTCCAGAACTCCTGCTTTGGTGAAGTATACGTCAGTGTTGGTTTCTCAGTACAGTAGATTATATTCCCTTAAAGGCTCTAACGAGGAAGATAAGTCCTTCCCCTTTACCGCCCTGCCCTAGGCCTGGGCTGAGCTCACTCCGGTGATCTGCTGTGGAGGTGATGGTCAGGAGGCCAAGGGAGGGAGTTTGTACAGCCTCTGGCCCTTGCTGGCTGGAGACCCTCCATGAGTCCTGAAAAGCTCTCTCTGGGATTGCAGCTCAAGCACTGTGAGGACCCCGTGGTGATTGACGATGGGGATGGCCCTCTGGACCAGGAGCAGGAGCGGCTGCCAGCAGAGGCCCAGAGCCACCTTGCAAAGAGCCAGGAAGCCCAGCCAGTGGCCCTGCCCCAGGGCCCTGGGCTCCCAAGCCGACTGCCAGGCCAGCTCAGCGGGGACCCAGGTAGGGAGTCTGGGGGGGGGGGTTGAGGGGGCTGGCCTTTGTACCCCACCTTGTGCCTTAGAGGTGGCTCTTGACCTCGGTAGTTCTATCTCCTGAGGAGCCATAAACAACTTTCAAGGTCAGTTCCTCTCTAGAGTGATTGAATCAGGATTTCCTGAGGGTGTCTGTTCTTTTCATGGTGCCCCGTTCACTCAGAGGGGCCTCTGCCTCCCAGTGCAGACCCTGTTGGAAGGGACTCTCTTTGAAGCTGCACCATCTTCTCTCTGTGAGGGTGCATTTCTGGGCTTTGTCTTTTGGGGGGACAGCCGGGCACTGTTGGCTGTCCCAGTAGGGCTGTGTGAGGAGCCGAGTGTGACCATATCCACTTGTCTCCCTGAACCTCTCTTTCCCAGCTAAACAGCCCCTGATCTCAGGCTTCTTATGATACTGTAAGGAAATACAGAAATACTCTCAGAGGGAACAGGGGTTTGGGGCTTGAGTATCACCTAGTCATGTCTCAATATCTGTACCAAGTGTGCTGGTGGCTTCAGGCAGGTGGTTTTGGCACCAGGCACACTTGACATTGAATTCTCTCACTATAATCCAGGCCATGCTTCTAAACTCTGCAAGCCTCAGTTTCCTGGTCCATCCAAAGGAGGTGATCATTACCCTTATTGGGTTTTGTGGGATTAAAGGATTATATCCCTTAACATTCTAAAGGGGGGGCCTGAGGCAGTCATGATTTTCAGTTGAAGTAATCCGATGGGAAGTTGCGCTGTCCTGGGTTTAAGGACCTCTGTGGTGTGAGGGTTATTTCAGGCAGACTTGCTGCTAAATGGTGCTACAAATAACAGATGAAAGCAGGGAGGTTGCCAGGAGAGAGAGTATTCTTAGAGAATATTCTGGAGATTCGTGGTAGTCTTTAACATTGTAAGTTTTTCAGTATTTTTTTTTTAAAAGCGCATATTAAATTTCTTTAATGGTTAAATAATATTGATTTCTTCAAACTCTTCAGTCTCCCCTTGGTGATAAGTCAAGATAGTTGTGTTAGTTTTTTTAGGAATGTTTGAACAAGGTCCCTCAGACGGGGCAGCTTAAACAACAGACATTTACTTCCAGTTCTGAGGCTGGAAGATCAAAACCAGGTGTCAGGAGGGCTGGTTCACTCTGGGGCCTCTCTCCTTGGAGTGTGAATGGCCATCAACTCCCTATGACCTCATGTGTTTGTCCTTTTTGTGTGTCTTAATCGCTCTCTTTTTTTATATAAAATCTACGATTTTAACTAAAAAATTTTTTTTAAATTGATCTTAGGGAAGGGGAGAGAGAAACATTGATTGGTTACCTCCTGCATGCCCTCTACTTGGGATTGAGCCTGCAACCTGGCATGTGCCCTGTTGAGGAATCAAACCCGCCACTTTTTTTTTTTCTTCTTTAAATATGTTTTTTATTGATTTCAGAGAGAGGGAGAGGGAAGAGTTAGAAACATCAATGAAGAGAATCATTGATTGGCTGCCTCCTGCCATGCCCCCTACTGGGGATTGAGCCCCAACCCTAGCATGTGCCCTGATGGGGAATCAAATTATGATCTCCTGGTTCATGGATTGATGCTAAACCACCGAGCCACACCAGCCGTCAAACCTGCCACTTTTTGGTGTACCAGCCAGGGTTTAATCTCTTCTTATAAGGACATCAGTCATATTGGATTAGGGCCCATCCTAAAAATTTTATGTTAACTTAATTACCTCTTGAAAGACCCCATCTCCAAATACAGTCACATTTTGAGGTCATAGGGGTTGGCACTTCAACATGTGAATTTGGTGGGGACAAAGCAACCCTTAGTCCAAATAAACAGTGCATGTGCAGGCCGCTTGGGGTATGCAGGTTGTGGGTGGCAGGAATGCCCTCAGAGGTCGCTGCCCCTGCCAAAGCTGGTGCTTCTTGAGGAAGTTCAGAAGCAAGCCAGTCACCACTGATGGGATTCTGGTCCAAAGACTCAGCTCCTCCCTTTTCCCTGAGCAATAATAAGTGGACAAAGGAGCCATGATGAAGACCTTAAAGACTTAAAGTGATTTGTCATTGGGATGAGCCACCAGTAAAAACCTTGTAGTTCCTGATCTTGAAAAATCTTCCCAAAACGCTAGATTTTATTTAAAGGATAAAGCTTTCCACGGTGATTTGTAAAAGTGTCCGTGTACTCATGTCCCGTGGGAAAGGGAGGGAGAGGCTGTCATTCATCCCTCAGAAGCTGGCAGGTGTGAGAGCAGCATGAACTCTCTCACATCCACACCACCCGCTGGAGCTTTCCCCAGCACAGCGAGGAGGCTGCCTCCCTCAGAGACCCCCGTGTCCCTGCTGGCTCCGCTGTCCCCTGCTCTGCCTCCTGATCTGGCCCTTGTTCTATCATAAATAGTTACACCGTTCCCTGCTGCATCCTGGTGAGAGATGCTGGCTTCTGTGCTAGCTCTGAGGCTGATTTAACATGTGACCAGGATCAGCCTTCAGAAGACCAAGAGACGATAGTGCATCTTTCCACGTCTTACTCTGTGAAAGGAGCACCTTTTGAAACAAAACTTATTTTCACGTGGCTGCACCCTGGGCCTGGGGCTAGGTATGTGGCGCTGCTCACAAAGCCTGAGCAAGGTGTCCTTGCCAGTCAGGGAGAGAAGTCTGTTGGAATACCAACCCCTGCCCCCCAGGCCTCAAAATCAGGCTAAGGAAGGTGGTCCCAGTGCTACACTTCTTCTTTCTAGTGGGCCTAACAAATGCTTCCTCCCCAGGGAAGGGGGAGGTGTTAGGGAGGGTAACAAAACCTAACAGGGGCACAGTCCTGGAGTTGACAGTTTATAAACTTGCAGGTACAGACATTTCTATGATCCTGGAGCCCCACAGTTATCTTCATTGCTGGCAGCTCTTACTGATACCTTGATTCAGAGCTCTAACCTCTGTTTTCCCCATAGTTCGGATCATGAAGTCGAAGCCCCTGCATCTGTGGGGAGTTATATTGCGACTCGGTGGCAGGGCCAACTCAAGCCCAGGCATTCCCTGTTAAAGTCCCCCTTGTTGTGTTTGAAAGCAAAGTCACAAATCTTGTAGTTTGCCCGAAGTTTTTACTCTGCATTATCTTGTAATCCTCCCAGGTAAGAAAAGAGGCACCCTTTTCTCATCTCTTTCAGTTCCTCAGGACCCATCCCTCCTTCAGGAAGTGAGCTCGAGGGATGGACAGCAGATGACCTCTCTCCAGCTGCCCCTGGTGAGTGACTTCTGCAAGAACCTTTGAAAACGCCACTTTGCCTCTCTGTCAGCTGCAGGGAAGCTTTGCCAGGACCCCGGCCAGCTTTCTGTCTGCCACACAGGCTGTTCAGCCCAGCCTAGAAAAAAATAAGAGGACCGATGTGAGTTTATGTGACTTCCATCCGTCCTCCTGCCCCATAGTCCGGGCTGCTCACTCTGCCGAAAGTGCCGTCACCTTTGGGAGCCTGTGTGGACAACAAACGTCCTAGAGTGCCCGTCTCTCTTCCTTTGGCATCTTGGTGTCCCCTCCAGTGAAAAGGGGGAGGGAAGATACAGATTTCTTTGGCACCGTCGCGTAGCCATGCGGAGGACTGTTAGGGGGTTTCCAGGGAAAGCTTCTCTCTGGGGTGTCCTCTCCAGGGGGGAGCTGTTTTTGGTCTGGCAGGTGTCTTCACTCACCCCTTTCCATCCCAGGTTCTGCCTGGGGCTGTGGTTTCTGACCACACCCCCTTCGTTTCCCTAATGAACCCTTTCCTTTGGCTGACCTGAAATTCAGTTATTACAAGAACGTTGGTGCTGAAAGGGGGTGAACGCTGTTGTTAACTGGTTCTCAGCAGACAGAAGGAAGACTCTCTGGAGGACAGTAGACAGTTTGTTCTCTGCACATCCATGTAGCAGGACTTTAAACGTGGGGGGGGGGGGAGGGGTTCGGCTCAGGACGAGAGGGAATTGGCTGGCATGTGGAGTGGGGGGGTTGTCCGTTCCCTTGGAGCTGTACCCCCCAGAACACAGCATGTGCTGATAGCTTTGACCAGTACATCTTGCAAAGTGATGCTGTGAATATAGTATCTGTTGAGTGTTGGTTGTTCACCTTTGAATTTAACCAGGTCCCTGTAGATGCCACAGTGAGCAGAAGAGACAGATTCTGATCAATCAGTGCTCTTGGTCACTCCGTGGAAGATTGTTTCTGCTCAATGCACTAAAAGTCACCGTCCTGAAGGGCTTATTCTTTAGGGCTTTTTTTTTTTTAATTTTTTAATTGTAAAATACATACAACAAAATTTATAATTCTAACCATTTTTAATGTACAGTGGTGTTTTTAAATGTTCAGTAATCTTAAGTATATCCCAACCCATCTCCAGAATTTTTTCATCTTTCCAAACTGAAACTCCTCACCCATTCAGTAATGATTCCCCATTCCCGCATACTTCCTGGCACCCACCATCTCACTCATTCTAGAGAGCACACATATGTGGAACCTTTTGAGTCTGGTTTACTTCCCTCCATGTAATGTCCTAAGGCTCATCCATGATGTAGCATGTGTCAGAATTTTCTCCTTCGTGAAGGCTAAATGGTGTTTTGTGGCGTGTACTGTATATGATCCATTGTGCTTATCCATTCATTCTTTTTAAAATAAAATATTTTTACTGATTTTTAGAGAGAAAGGAAGGAAGAGAGAGAGACATTGTTAGAGGGTGACGTTGATTCACTGCCCCTTGCAGGCCCCCTACTGGGACTTGACCTCATAACCCTGACATTTCTGACCAGGAATCTAACCAGCGAGCTTTTTGGTGTACAGGACGATGCCCAGCCAACTGAGCCACACCGGCCAGGCATTTCATTCTTTGATGGACACTTAGGTTACTTCCACCTCTGGCCACTGAAAAATGTTGCTATGAATATGGGTGCATTTTTTAATTTTTAGGTGCATTTATTTATTTATTTATTTATCTTAGGTAATCATAGATTCACCTCAGATGTAAGAAATAACAGATGCAATGCAATACAGTGTTACAAGCTGGTAGATACAATGTCATAAGCAGCATAGTGACATCAATACACACAGAATACAGAACGTTTGCTTTCAGAAGCATCCTTCCTATTGCCTTTTCGGCCACACCCAATGCTCTCACTCCAGCCTCTCCTTGGTCTCTGATAACCATTGGATAGTGTTGTTTAAGAACATTACTAGTAAGTGGGTTCATACAGTATGTCACATTTGGGTGTGGACTTTTTAAAAAATTTATTGGGGTAACGCTGGTTAACAAAATTATGCAGGGTTTCAGGTGCACAATTCTACAACACATCATCTGTACACTATTGTGTGTTCATCACCCAAGTCAAGTCTCCATCACCATTTATCCCTCCTCAGTCACCACACTATTGTCCCTGTCCATAAGTTTTTTAGTTTTTCTCTCTTTTTTTCCCCCCCCAATCCCTCCACCTAATATTCAAACACCCTCCAGAACTCCCCATCCCCTGCTGTCAGCTGGCTCTCTATCTATAAGTGTCTCTATTTTGCTTGTTAGTTCATTTTGTTCATTAGATTCCACATGTGAGTGAAATCATATGGTACTTGTCTTTCTCTCATTGGCATAATTCACTTACTACATAATGTTCTTCTGGTACATCTATGCTATCGCAAAGGGTAAGATTTTTTTTTTTATAGCCAAGAGCCAAGTAGTATTCCATTATGTAAATGTACCACAGCTCTTTTTATCCACCCATCTATTGATGGACAGTTCCAAATCTTGGCTATTGTAAATAACACTGCAATAAAATAGGGTTACAAATATTCTTTCGAATTAATGTGTTGTGTTTCTTCTTTTAAATTCCCCAAAGTAGTGGAATCACTGGGTCATAAGACAGTTCCATTTTTAATGTTTTCCATAGTGCTGCATCAATCTGCATTCCTAACAACAGTGCTCAACCACTGAGCCATGCCAGCTATAACACCAGCCAGGCCCCTTTGTCAAATATTGACCCAAAGGTGTGTGTTTAATTTGGGGATCTCTATTATGTTCCATTGATCTATATGTCTATTTTTGTGCTAGTACCATGCTGTTTTGATTACTATGGCCTTGTAAGAGAGCTTGATATCAAGTAGTGTGATTTCTCCAGCTTCTTTTTTTCTCAAGATTGCTATTGCTATTTGGGATCTTTTGTGATTCCCTATAAATTTTTGGAATATTTGTTCTAGTACTACGAAATATACTATTGATACATTGGTAAGAATTGCATTGAATCTATACATTGCCTTCGGTAGTATGGACATTTTAATTATATGTTAATTCTTTCTATCCATGAACATGGTATGGTATATGCTTCTACTTATTTGTATCTTCAGTTTTTCTTCAGTGTCTTATAATTTTTTGAGTACAGGTCTTTTAATTCTTTGGTTAAAATTATTCCTTGGTATTTTATTTTATTTTTAAGTAGTTGTGAATGATATTGTTTTCTTAGTTTTCCTTTCTGATAATTGCAACTGAGGAATTTGTACATGGCTCAGCAATTCTGCAATGATTTCTTACAGAGAGGAAGGGAGAGGGATAGAGAGCTAGAAACATCAATGAGAGAGAAACAATGGTCAGCTGCCTCTGCACACTCCCGATACTGGGATGTGCCCGAAACCAAGGTACATGCCCTTGACCGGAATCGAACCTATGACGCTTCAGTCTGCAGGCTGATGCTCTATCCACTGAGCCAAACTGGTCAGGGCATGAATACATACTTTTTGGTGATGAAAAAAAAAAAAGCAACTGATTTCTGGATATTAATTTTGTATCCTGTTACTTTACTGAATTCATTGATCAGTTCTGGTAGTTTTTTGGTGGAATAGTTAGGATTCTCTTTATTCAGTATCATATCATCTGCAAATAATGTGTTTTTCTTCTCTCTTTCTAATTTGGATGTCTTTTATTTCTTCTTGTCTGATTGATATGGTTAGGATTTCCAGTACCATGTTGAATAAGAGTGGTAAAAGTGGACATCCAGCCGAAACCGGTTTGGCTTAATGGATAGAACGTCGGCCTGTGGACTGAAAGGTCCCAGGTTCGATTCCGGTGAAGGGCATGACCTTGATTGTGGGAGGTGTGCAAGGGGCAGCTGATCGATGTTTCTCTCTCATCGATTTTTCTAACTCTATTCCTCTCTCTTCCTCTCTGTAAAAAATCAATAAAATATATTTTTTTAAAAGTGGACATCCATGTTAAGGGAAACACTTATAGTTTTTGCCATTGAGTATGATTTTGACTGTGGGTCTGTCATATATGGCCTTTATTACATTAAGGTATATTCCCTGTATTTCCACTTTGTAGGGAGTTTTTACATAAATGGGTACTCTATTTTATCAAATGCTTTTTCTGCATCTATTTTCTTTTCTACATCTATTTTTAAAAATATATTTTTATTAATTTTAGAGAGAGAGAAATAGAATAGAAACATCAATGATGAAAGACAGACAATCATTGATCTGCTGCCTCTTGCATGCCCCCTACACTGGGGATCAAGCCAACAGCCCAGACATATGCTCCGACTGGAAATTTACCTTGACCTCCTGGTTCATAAGTTGACACTCAATCAACTAAGCCATGCTGTCCAGGCCTTTTTCTGTGTCTAGTGATATAAACATGTGGCTTTTATCCTTCATTTTGTTCATTTGGTATATAATGTTTATTAATTTCCAGATATTATACCAATCTTGTAGGGGATGGTTTTCAATCAGCATAATTCTGTGGAGCTTCAACAAGTGTTTTGCATGTGTCAGTCGTCTGTTCTGTTTTTATGGCTGAGGAAAGACCCCACCGTATGAATGTACCACAGTTTGTTGAACCATCCACCTGCTGAAGGAGATCTGGGTGGTTTCTGGTTTAGGGCATTTTGCATAACGCTGCTGTAAACATTTGTGTACAGGTTTTGTGTGAATATCAGTCTTCATTTCTCTGGGAACACCTGCCCAGGTATGCAATTGTTGGGCTGTCTGGTACCTTTTTCCAGAGCGACTGTACCATTTTACATTTCCACTATATTCCCCACATCCTTGCCAACATTAGATGATGTCACTTTTTTAATTAATTAATTGATTTTTTTATTGCCATTTTCAAGGACCTTAATGACTTCAATGTTTTTAAGGCTCGTAACATGGCTTTACTATTGCCAGCTTTGTCTAAATTTCTGCAGAAACACATTCAGGTAAGCAGACTCATTGGCTGGCTTTCACTATTTTTTATTTTAGCCATT